CCATAAGTTTTTTTGACATACATAAGAAAGAAGAGTGCTGTGAGTGAAAAAGTTTCTAACAGTATTTTTATTCCAGCAGTTACTTGATCCTGCCCTCTAGTCCCAGCGATAAGTGGAGAAATAGTGATTTTAGGCTTTTCCATTCTTTTCCTTTATGACATTGCCTCTGTCATCTAAAAATTCCAGCTGATTGTTATGTAACATTCAAAAAAGTTGTTGTAAATATGAATGTGTATGTTTCATCTTAAGAGTAGGTAAAAAACAAACAAAACCCGGTAATACTTTTGCAGTGTGGAATGGAGTAAGCAACTAAAGCAACTATAGTTCATAAAAATTACTAGCAACCATTAGAAGAATCCATTTTTCATGCTGCCGGAGCAGGTTCGCTTATAGATTTGCTCTCAGTTTTTCATTTTCTTTGTTGCTGATGCAGGTGCTGTGTACCATTAAAGCGTGTGTTCATATTTAATCTCCGATGTTGCCCATTCATGATCTGCAGCTCAGTCCCAGTCAAGCTGAATTCTTTTATGTGGATTTTGGAGAGACTTTGTTCTGCCTCCTTTATATGCAATAGAAAAAAAAAAGTTATTTCCACACTTTTTCATGAAAAAAAAAATGTTTTGTATGTCTGTCTATTTGTCTTTACTGATGTAAGAAATACAGATTAGTGATTGTATCACTGAGTTTTCTGCATGGCCTTAAAAAGGAGGGAACAGTCACTTTCCAAGAAGGTATGGAGAATGCAAGAACACCCAATGCTGATTTCTGTTCAGGATTTAATCATGTGGGGTCTGTGTAGTGAAATAAATACATGAAAAAGGGTTTCCTGTGCCTCCATCTAAACTGCCACGACTGTAGTTGTGTTTCCTGAATAGTTGCAGCTTCTTGATAGAAGAAGAGCTGAACTGCATGGCAGGAATTGTACCCTCTCCCCATACCCATTCCTCTCCTCCCCTCATCCCCAAAAGTCTGGAGAGGGGAGAGAGGCTCTTATATTTCAAACTGTTGCTACAATTATATTTGGTATAAATTGGGTATTTTTTTCCTTAGAGTACACTGTGGTTCTCTTTGACCACTACTAGTCTGTCCAACTAAGCATTTTGAGTCTTTTCTACAGTATTCTCTAGCATACTGTCTGATGGGAGTAGGCAGAACACATCCCATGTAATACTTGCCCTTTGTCAAAGGAGATATAAATGGAGAGAAAAATTCACTGTTAGTTTAGTGAATGTTTAAAGAGTCTAGTAGTGTAGTGCTGAAAAGACTCAGTAATAGCATGGTTAAAGATGTTGCTAAGGAGAGCTTACCATTACCTACCTTTCCTCTGGCATTAGGATCACCCTTCCAGTGTCCCAGGAGGTCTGAGATCAGTGATTTACTCAGAAACCACAAGAACTGGGTTGGGGATGGAGTCCTGAGACATCATCAGCACGTGGAGGTCTTCGTTGGGGTTCTTTGGCCTCCTTGGACTACACACGTTTCTTGTGGCCACCTACCGGCCTGCGCGGCACTGCCAGCTGTGGTGTGAGAGCTGTGGCCACCCCAGCGCCACCCTCAGTGGCTGTCATCTGCCAGGGTGGGGGTGTCCCCTCTACAGAGGTGGTGCAGGCAGCAGCTCATGGCTGCTGGTGCAGACACCCAAGCCAGCAGAGCCCAGCATGGCTAGGTTGGCACTGAGCCTGTGGCCTCAGCTGGGCAGGGCAAGAGTAGTGTTTAATCATAGAACCCTTAAGGTTGGAAGATAATCTAGTACAGCCCCCCGCACACGCATGAGCTATAAAAGGGAGAGCTTTAGGAAAGCAATGGATAGAGCAGGAATATGGAAGTGATGACAAAGAGGCTCAGAATGGATTTCAGCAGGGGGGGGAGAGACCAGGGTGAGAATTTCAGAACATCTGGGAGTGACATATGATAATGGAGAGCTAAAAGAAACAGAAGAACAGAGAAATTCATAACAGCTTTTATAGGTGAAACCTGATAGAATATGTAAGATGCATCAAATCTCTGAGGAGCAAAGAGTGAGTTAAACTTTCAGGGAATAAAAGAAGATGCTTCTGGAAGGAAAAAGGAGAGAGAAAACAGAATAGCATAAGCCTCTGGTGACTCTAAAGTGTACCTCTTAGGAATTTAGTGGTGTGCGTTGGTGAATGGTACTCTAAATTTGGTGCTCTGTATCTTCTGAAAGTGAGCTCTCATTTTACTTTCAGACAATTTAATAGCCTCCAGCTTAGGAAGAATAAGGTAATCACTGAGCACTGCAGCTTTGCAGGCTAGCTGATTTGATTGAATGTGCAAGAGAATACAAACCCTTGCTGTTGAATGGACATTATTGTATGTACAGTATATCTGATAGGCCTCTTAATGTTCACTTAACATCCTGTCTTTTCTCATCAAGATACGATCAAACAAAGAGGCAGGTGAATGATGGGCACAATGTGGCTGTTTGGTTCATGAGTCCAGTTCTTTTTACTAGACTGCCAGGAAAACGTAGTGCCAGAGGCTCTGGTGTACTTCTTGTTTATAATATTATGTTCTATACAGATGCCAACATCTGGAACAGGTGGAGCTGAGAGATTGTAGAGTCTCAATTCTTGGGGATATTCAAAACCCAGCTAGATGTAGTCCTCAGCAACCTGCTCCATCTGGCACTTTTATGAGCTGGGGCATTGGTCTCCAGAGATCCCTCCTACCTTAACTATTCTGTTATTGCTAAAAAGCTTCCATACGATTTGATTGCTTAAAACTCATAAGGTTACATAAGGCAAGTGATACTAGTGTGCTCCATTGGTATGTGAGAAATAAAAAGGATGATCAAATTGGTAAGAATCAAGTAATTTAATACTTAGCTTATCATATAGCATTACAGGAACTTATAGCTTAATAGTAGTTCTTTCAGATATCCATTTATGGCTGCAGGTTGCAATTTTTAACTGGGAATTTGTTGTTTAAGCAGATACATAGAAAAACAAAACTATGGATAAAATTATTTTTCATTATCTTTTTTTGCATGGAAAGCTCTTAAATCTATGGAAAACTGTACGAATAGCTAACAGATTGTACTTACGGAAGCTTATCTGGATGGGCTGTACAGATAAGGCATAGTCAGTATTGTATATTATTATCCAAGTGAATAATCTTGAGAAAGCAGTCATGCGCGGCTTGATAGTATAATATCGAGGAAAATATTTAGGTTCAGTTACTTAAAGCATGAATACAGTATATGGAGTAAGGCAAATTAATTAAAATCAGCAATATTAAATTAGACTTCATCAGTTAGAGCTACATCTAACTGCATGTGCCAGCATATCATTCTGCTTTGTGATGATGCTATAAATTGCTTTGCTCCAATAGAAGAAACTTTTTTTTTAATTGCATTTCAAAAACCTGTTATTTTCAAGAGAAAATAATATTGTGGCTATTTTTAGTCAAAATTTTCATTACAATTGATTTTACAATATAGAACAGAAAGAGTCTGGCTGTGGAATACTGCTATTTTTGATATTTCTGATGGGTTATTGTGTCCTTGCATTTCCTAATAAAAGATGCAATTCAGGGATGAAAACAAGTACGCAATTGAGGGATGAAAACAGTAGATTTTGTTTGCTTAATGGTAAAAAAGAATTGTAAGAAGTCCAATTTATCATAATTAGTCATAATTATGACTCATAATCAAAATTCATAATTCATAATTCATAATTTTCATAATTTCATAATTCATAATTTCATAATTTTCATAATTTTCATAATTCATAATTTCATAATTCATAATGTATGATATACATTATTTAGGTATTGGCTGGGATTTAACTTAGAAGTCTGTCACTCTTTCATGTATAACTACTATTTTTTAATATAAGAAAGTCCATGTAATATTTTCAACTTCTAAATTTACAACTTAATGTGTGCAGAAGATGGTAATTCTGTCTGTCCATAGGAGAAAAATCAGGAAATATTTTCCAGTTAGAGTGTTAACTGTGTCTTAAGCTTAGGTTACTTACTGTCTTCTTCAGTTTTATGAGAATTTAGCAGATGATACTTATTTTTTCGAATATCCAAATAAACTTGTGTTTGCACATAACACATTTAAATACAGTACTTAAGCTTTTTATATAGATGTAAATACTTGACATATTCTGGCTAAAAATCAGCCTTTTAGTTTACAGAATTTCTAAAGAAATCATAAAAATCAAGCCATATTCAAACATACAGGCAACAGATAATTCCTATCATTTGGTAGTAAGTGAAATGTGAAAATACCCTTCTTCCATTGTAGTTAAAGGGAAAAATTCCTTTGTGACTTTGAAATCTTCAGGAAATTGTAGTCTTTGAATATCTGGAACCTTATCATCATATTTGTGCTGTGAGTAGGAGTTAGTATTTCTCTAAGTTAGATACTTTACAATCAATCAGATGTGTTGTGGTTATTGGTCCAAATTTTTCTCTTCTACGTTGTCAGTATCAACCCTTCACAAGTGCATATATTAAAAAAGAAACAGCATTATGAAGATTCTTCATTTTTCATGCCTTTGGCCTTCTGCCTTTGTTCTTAAGGGTACGCTTAATGCTACCTGCTGCACGTTGCCCGTGGTGTCTTCCCAAACACTTGTAGCTACATACAGGTTTCACACATACGAAAATTCATTTCTTAGGTCTGACAAACTTTGCATACCACACTTGATAATTGCTGTGGATATTGTTCAGAAGCTTAAAAAAAAAGGTTCACAGATATTCTGTCTGCATTGACTAAAAAGCCAGGTGTTTCCCCAAGTGCATACATTCTACACTTCAGAATAAATAATTTTTCCTTTGTACAAACAAATTCTGAGAGAAGAACCTCAGTACAACTTTTGTTCATAGTGAAAACTGCCATAGCTGGTAGAAGAAAGCTATGCACAGAATGACATTATTGATTTTTTAATTCTTTTAAGAGAAGTAGTTGGGCATGAATGGGCAAAGTCATTGACTCTCATTTTTCTGCCATGTCTGCTCCTCTTTTTCAGATGCACATGTACAGCAGGCTGGACAGGGCCAGACTGCAGTGAAGATATAAACGAATGTGATGCAGAACCGTGCCTGAATGGAGCCACCTGTCACGAGTCTGTTACCCAGGGGCACTTTGTGTGCGTTTGTCCTCCATTCTATACTGGTGACTTTTGCCATCAGCGCTTCAGTCCCTGCGACCTGCCTTACAATCCATGTGTAAACAATGCAACCTGCCTGGCACAAGCTGATGGAAATCCACTGTGCATTTGTAAAGCAGGTAAAAGCTCACATAGTTGGCATAGTTTTATATCGTCTGCTGTACTGCAAGGTTGTTGCAAGTCTGTAATGTGTTTAGTGCTGTGTTTACTGAAATCAAGTCTATGTCCCTTTCAAAGCAAATACAGCTTTCATGAATTACAGAGTTACAGTTACAGAATTACAGAGTCAGTTACAGTGAGACTGGTATGATAGCTGTTTGTGTACTCTTCTTACAGTAACTAAGTATATTACATGGATCTTTAGATTCCAGCATTCAGAATTGTCACTTCTGAATTAATAGAGACAGACACCTGGCCATCAGACCCGACAGACTAAATTGACAAAACAGATGAGCAGAAATAGACAGAATATGCACAAATTGTTAAAAGTACAAAAACTGGGCCAGGGTAGACCTAGTTCCTCTTCCCGCTGAGCTGCAGGAAGGTGTGGTGCATTGGGGGAGTGCTTTTCCCCTGTCTAATGCACAGAACAGGTTGCTCCCTGTTTTTATGCACAGGAAGCAAAAGCACAGTGGGCACCTGTAGCTTTCTTGGGCCACAGCTCAAAAAACCCCATCTCTCCCTCCGTATACAGGAACTGCTAAGGTGGAACAGAGCAATACGTGAACTCTACAGAACATTTCTATGCAATCCTACATAGGAATTAAAGAATATGCTAATTAATTAAAATGACTCTGTAAATTCAGGGATGCAGAATACAATTACCAAACCTGACATTTAGGCAGGATTTTGAAATCATCACCTGTATACATATAAATGGTAGGTGAGCTCCAGGGGCCAAGGATAGCAAATAAATTAATTGCAGTGTTAAGCCACAACAGTATTACTCATCTTATTGTTTACCGAGTTGCTAAGATCCAGAGATAATAGGTACAGGTCACCACTGTTAAGAGCTTAGATTTCTTATTGTTAAGACAAAGGGTACCATAAATTGCTGATTAGAAAAAAAACAAAGGTCAGAGGAAAGGCATGCGGCTCATTCCGTGTAAGTATAACACTCAATATTATGACAAAAATAGAAGACCGCTTTTAACATAATATATTGATTTTGAAGTCTTCATAAGAAGCGATCCGTAAAGAGTCGTCAGATTTAGGTCTAACATCCCACAAAAGAGTCTATTTGAAACATTTTTGTGCCTCGTTTCTTAAAGATGCAAAAAAATTGCAGCCAGATTCTCAAGAAACCTTGAAGGAATCTGCAAGGATTCTTGAAACTTGTAGCCAGGAACTTTCAAGAATCTTCAGGGAACGAGCACAGGAGTTACCCGAACCGGTGTCATATCTTATTAACAAATCTTTGAAAATAGATAACATCATAGTATTGAAGAGGAGTAAAAGGCATTCTTCATGAAATGAACAAATATTAATAATGAAAAAATGCACTTATTTACTTAGGACTTTATCAACAAACCAGGAGATGCAATATTATATAGAAAATTAATTGAAAGCATTTAATGAGAATATTTTTTTCTCAGTTGTTTTCCTTTTCTTGTTTCAGAATATTCCAAATCTGGTTGCAAAAGGCAATCACACTGATACAGCTAGGTTACTCAAAGGTACCTGACCTGGTACTATGTGGGTTATTGATTAAGCAACTTGCATGATATGTAGGCAGCTGTCCAGTCATTAGATGGATTAAAATCTAGTTTGTCAATAGTCACAAAACGTAATTGCACATGAAGAGATCGAAATGAGCAAGGTGGTTGTAGGCCTGATTTCTCTGAAATCAATTGTCCAAAGCTATTTTATGTTTGTATCAACTGAGCAGACAGTTCCATAAATCTGGTAAGTACACACATGAAGCACACATTAGTTCAGCTAATGGGGAAGCAGGCTATCTTTGAGAATTGCCTGATAACATACAGTCAAAGAGTATGGATTTTGATACATTATGAAGCACTCTAAGTTATAAATCTTCTACAGGTATGTATTAGGACAGTGCCTTAGAAAACAGTGACTCAGAAAAAGACATTAGAATTATTATCGATAATATTATTCAAAAGAGCATTTAGCATAGGTCTTTCTTTAAAGAAGCAACACAATTTTTGGATACATGAAGAAGTGGAATTTATGATAGAAGCGAGGAAATTATTTAGCCTGTTTACCATGACTTTGAAAGACCGTCACTTAAATCAGTGCCTAGTTCCCATAATGATCTTTAGAAAACAATATTAGAGATGGGCCGCAAAATCAGCAGCAGAAGTCAAACTTTGGTCCATGTTGCTTGCTCATAAGAAAAAGATATTTTCCACTGACTAAAGGGAGCTTGGGCTGCCATAATGAGGCAAAGAAGACAAAAGCAGAGAGAAAAGTGTAGGAAGCAAATATAGAAAAGTGTAGCTATATTTGAAAGTATAAGTTAATCACAATCAGTCTTGATATATTAAATTAGCACATAATAATTGAAACAACTTTACAGAGAGATAGTGAAGCCATGGTTAGTAGGAGTACAGAGCAAAATTGCTTGTATTTTTGCTCTTGTATACAGTTGAAGTTGTCTGTTTTGGCTGTTTTGTTGGCTGTTGAGTGGCTGTTTTGTGCCATTGTGCATATATGCAGTATTGAATCTTTCTGTTAGTTCTTCTGAAATATTTCATACCGAGCAGAAAAGTAACGGAGGAAGAAAGGACAACTTCAGGCATAAGTGGCAAATAGTAGAATGTTTTATTACTTCATTTATCAACACCTTTTTTTCCATTCCCAAAGAATTCAATTCTTGGAATGAATCTTAATAATCATAAAGAAATTGTAATACTGCAAAGGACATGATTTTCATATATGAAATATGAATTTAATATAAATAATTTGAAATTATTTGTAACTGAGCCTGGACAATAAATTCCTCAGAATGTCTAAGAGCCAGAAAGAATAAAGAGAATTCACAGAGAATATCCAAAAAACAAATCAACTGCATGTGTAATATTCCAATAAACTAGAGGATGGACATAAGGGTCTTCTAGTTAGTGTCACATTGCAGAGTGGTAGGTGCATAATGGCATTCTGAAGGGAAGACAGAACAGCCTTTAGAAACAGTGAATCTTTCTGAGGGTGACTGTGTTCTCTGAAAGAGCCAAATTACTATGAAGACAGGATATATTCAAATGAAGAAAAACAACGAAAGGGAGTGTCACAGATTTAAACCTTGAAAATAAGGTAATTAAAAGGATTTTAATTGTAATTCCTTCTAATTAAAAGGAATTAAATATTATAGATCAAGTTGTTCTCATTATCACAGTGTAAAAAAATGAACAAAGAGTTGTCACAGGAGATGGATCTGTGACTGTGAAAGAAAATACAAATAAGTGGATACCAGAACAAAGCAAAAATGCAAATGAAAAGTCCTGGAGTATGACAGAGCACATTTCCCTGTTCTAAATAAGCAAAGGAGATGTTATTTTAATTTCTGTAAGTACAGAAATCCGTAAAGCAGGAATCAGTGACAGCATTTGCAAATCCATATCCACCTATGAAAAGAAAAAAAAAAAAGTATTTTGCATTAATATATAAAATTGGATCAATTTACAAGGATACTTGGAGTTGTAAAAATAGCAATGAAAGACACAAGGATGTGATTACATCCCTGAGTTGCAGTCTGGACATTCATTATGTGACATTCTCAGTATCATGTGGCCCGTCAGTTCAAAGTCTGATGATCTAGAATATGTAATGAAAGTGAGTATGAATATGCATTTTAGTAATCTTAAAACATGTGGAATGAAGTGGGAATGGAAAGAGTTAAGGATGAGCCCTATAGGAAAAGATGGAAGCTACGAGAAAAAGGGGTCTAGGAATGATACCCTTTCCCCCATAAAAAAATGTCTGCTCACTTGTAATGAGTATTCTTGATGTGGACCAAAAGCATGTTTCCTCCTAGGAATAAGAAAATTGTGTTTTGACTTATGGATAATGACACCCAGAAAACAAAGTTTAAGTTTGGAGTGTGCTAGAAGTATAGCTGTTTTTAATAATCCTGAACAAGCAGTACAAGCAAAATGGACACTTTCATCTTGGGAGATATAAGTTATTATAAAGGACTGACTGTAAAAGACAGTTCCTGAAAACAGTCGTATCGAAAGGTTGTAGATATGTCCGTATTTTAAGAGCAATAGTAAAACATAACAGTTGAAGAAAAGTTCTTGAACTTTTCCAAAATTTGAGTCTAGAGTTTGAGTCTTGCTATGAAAATCCTAATGCAAACTACAAACAAAATATTTAAATATAAAATTAAATTCACAAAAGCTGTGAGTGCAAGATCAGTTTTCTGGCTAGGACATTTGAATGACAACAGGCAGACTTGATATTAAAATGTGACGCAAAGGATAGGTAGTATCAAGAGGAAATATGAAACACAGGAAAATCTACATATACAAACTTTATAGAGAATTAGTAAGACAGAAAATAATTTGCCAACATAAAGAGTGAGCCAGAAAAAAGCAAGTATTTGTAAGCAAAGATTTTTTTGACAGTGATTTATGCTTATGGAAGAATTTTAAGTTCTGATACCAAGAAACTAAAGGAAGGCACTCTTAGTAGTGTTTTCATACCACAACTCTATCTATTTCAGAAAGAAGGGTTGTTTAATCAGCATTTGACTTAGTTCAGTAGCTTTTTAATGAGTTAAGAAATTCAGAAGGGAAATGAAATCAATGAAAAAGGTATTATTAGAGTAAAGCCACTAGAAAGTGTGGATTAATTCGACCAGATGTAGATTGTCCACAGTATTAAAGTTTTTGCTGAGCTGGTCTCCCTGTACTCCATTTGTAGTCAATGGAGAGAGAGAGGCAGTTTTGTAAGGTAATTCATTTCATCCAAAAATAGGCATATAAGTAAGTCAGATGGCTAATGCTGTAGAAATACCTATTTCACTCCACTGACTACAAAGGCAGCTTAGGACTATTTGTTCAGGAGGCAGATGGTCTGAATCCCACACCAAGTGCCTATTTCTTGGTGTAATATTTCGGTAAAGATTTTCTCTACATATTTCTGTGAAGCAAATCAT